TTTGGCTCAAGCCTGCCCTGGTGCCAGGGTGGGCAGGAACGCGCCGTGCCTCTCCTTCTCGTAGGAGAGAGCGGCTCTGTCCTGCTCCCCGTGTCGCGGCCCCTGCCATGGCGGCGTCGGGCGGCGGCACCAGGGGATGGATCTACGGTCGGACGGCGCTGGACTGGTCATCGCGATGGCCGTCCAAGGCGCTGCTCAGGGAGCGGCGGCGGGCGGCGCCTCGCGGCAGGCGATCGCGGCTGCCGTGGCCGCAGCGCTGCGCACCGCCTGGGCGCTCCTGGCGGACGGCGGCTCCGAGGAGGACGCCGAGCTCGCTATGCGCTGGCAGGCCATGGAGCCCGCCATGCGCCAGCAGCTGCGGGGCGTGCAGGCGTGCGGCGCAGCCCGCGCCAGGCGCAACGTCGGGGCGCACGTGGTCCTCGGCAAGGGCGTGGAGGCCCTGCGGGAGGCCCTGGTGCGGCCGCAGCGCGCCCAGCGTGGCGGACGCTGCGGGCCCCGCGTGCCGGCGCAACCGGACCTGGCCGAGGCGGGCGGCGGCGGCTCGACCCCGCCCTCTCCGCCCATGGTGCCGAGCGCGGCGGTGGCCACGGAGGTGGGCGGGAACCCCTTCGACGACCACGCCGACGACACCATGCTGGAGGGGTCCGTCGGCGACGGCGCGGAGCTGGACGTGGACGTGTGCAAGGGCACCGACCAGGTCGTGGACAGCTCCGAGGCGCGCGTGGACGCGAGCGAGCAGGAGCACCAGAGCCCCTTCGAGGAGGACACGGTGCTGGGCGAGGTCCCGCCCTTCCCGCAGCTCAGCGCGGCGGTGGGCGAGGAGGCCGTCGGAGGCCCCTTGGAGAGTATCGTCGGCGCCGAGCTGCAGGGTCAGGAGAGCGAGGAGGCGACGAACGACGACGACTTCGTTCTCCCCTCGATCCTCGCCAAGATGGAGGAGTCGATGGAGGCCCAGCGGCGGTCCCAGGCCAGCCTCGTGGAGGACCTGGCCAAGTTGCGTGCCCTCCGAGCGCAGGAGCTATCCGTGGCTCTGCGCAATGGGGTGGCGGGCGCCGTCGACGAGGCCAAGGTGCGCTTTCGGGCCGCCGTGGATCGGCTCCGTCTGGCCGAGGCTGCCTTCGACAACAAGATGGCCACCTTCCAGCGGCAGTGCGAGGTCCTGCAGCGGGCGTCCCAGCGGCGGTGACGGTCTCGCTGAGGGCTGAGGCCGTGGATGGGGTCAGCAGCAAGAGTGCCAGCTGCGTGGATGGCCTCGCGGATTGCTGGGATGGCCGTTGCGCCTCTGCCCGTCGTCGGGGTGCGGGTTCCGCCTCTGAGAGGGCCCCAGCGGTAGAGACAATGCCCCCCTTGGCGCGGTGTCCGCCGTGGCTGAGGGGCCTGAGGGGGCGGTCCCTCGGGGTGCCTGGGCCCGCATTCGCCGTTGGCGGGGCCTGGGCACGGCGCGTGTTCTCGCTTTTCAGCCCCCCTTGGCACCAGGCTGAGGGGCCTAGGGTGGGGCGCGGCCTCGAGGGGGCCCTTTCGCTCTGCACCCTGGGGAGTTCGGCGGGGGCGCTGCCCAAGGCTCGGCTCCGCACAGGCTCGGCAGGCGATGACCTTCGCTCGAGAGCCCAGCGCACGGGCCTGGCGAGGTGTAGACGCCCCAGGCTGCCGATGCACCAAAGCACCAAAACACACACACACACACACGCACACGCACACGCACACGCACACGCGCACACGCACACGCACACGCACACGCACACGCACACGCACACGCACACGCACACGCACACGCACACGCACACGCACACGCACACGCACACGCACACGCACACGCACACGCACTCGCACACGCACACGCACACGCACACGCACACGCACTCGCACACGCACACGCACACGCACACGCACTCGCACACGCACACGCACACGCACACGCACACGCACACGCACACGCACACGCACACGCACACGCACACGCACACGCACACGCACACGCACACGCACACGCACACGCACACGCACACGCACACGCACACGCACACGCAAACGCACTCGCACACGCACACGCACACGCACACGCACACTCCTCATCCACCCAAACACCCCCCCCACCAAACCACACACCACGCTAATTCTGAGGGGGAGGGTGGGGTTCTCTTCGCTCGTGAGTCGATCCCACGAAGTTGAACCAACCCTCACCCTTCAGAAACGGCGCGTTTTTGGTGTGGGGGGGGGGTGGGGGGGTAGGGATGGTTTTTGGGTTCGCGCGGGCCCTCCCCCCGTGGCCCTTCCGTGCCTGGGTGGCTCGCTTTTCTTCCTTCTCCACCCCCAGAGAAACATCGTGGGAAGGAGTTGTGTTGGTGAGTGGCGGCGCCCTGGGGCTTTCGCGGCGCACCGGGGCCGCCAAGATATCGCCCGGGCGAAATGGTCCTGGGGCGTCGACTTCCTGGGCCCCCTGGGACGTGCCCATTTCGCGCCCATACAGGTGGGGAATGAAGCAGAAGATCGCCACAAACTCCAAGCTCTGCATTTTTTTGTTAACAGAAAATTACGTGCGTGGCGTTGTGCTGCTTTAAGGGGCTCAAAACGGGCACCAGGGCCACAGTTATCACGATCCAGGGGAAATTGGTCGGGTCGACTTGGGACCCCTGCCGCGCCTTCTGCGCGCCCAGAGGGGGCGATCGGCAGGGAGATCGGCCGCGCGCTTCGGTATTTTTCTGGTTGCTCGCGGCTTCCAGGGGCCCTGAGCGGGCGCCAGGGCCACAGGCAAAATTCAACCAACACCAGGGCCACTAACAAAAAAACCTCAGGACAAACAACCAGGGGTCGAGTAACGAAAACCATCGAGACCTCGACGTTGGCGATCCCCCTGGCCTGGTTCCCCCCCTCCTCCCTCGCCCGCTCCTTCGCCCCCCACCTCAGCACCTCTACCTCCCCTCCCCCTTGAAGCGTGGTTCAAGATGAAGCGCACTGTGATTCGTCGAATCGATCTGCCGCCTGTCGGGGCGTGGCTCCGAATATACGCACCTTGGGCCCCTCGCGGGATGTGGGTCCTCATAGCGCCAGTGCCGAGCGTGTTCTTGGTGCACGCGGCCCCCGCGGGGCCGCCGCCACCGCAGCCTAGAGCTTAGGCAACGCCATCGATATATGGTCGACCGACCGATCGATCGGGCCCCGATGGGCTCCACAAGGATCCCCGCTCCGAACGGCGATCGGTCGATCGATGGATCGATCGAGCGCCGCTCGGCCCCCCCGAGGCCCCTCGTCGACGATGATTGGGTCACGAGCAGCGAGGACAGCGTGGCCGAGACGATCGAATCAAGCTCCGACGCGCCCGTCGAGATCAGCGACGACGACTAAGGAGGGGGTGGGTGGAACTGCCCCTCCTTTTCCTCCTCCTCTTCCTCCTCTTCCTCCTCCTCTTCCTACTCCTCCTCCTCCTCCTCCTCCTCCTCCCCTCCTCCTC